AAACTTGGTTAGTAGACATAATAAAATTTGGGACTCACTTTCTAGGACAGTTCCAGGTGATCAAGCCAGAGGGTAGCCCACAGAATAAGAGTTGCCAAGGTGGTTAAAGACTTGTAGAGTTCAAAATATGTAATGAGAAGCTGCCTAATTAGGTAGATGTCATATTACACAGAGTTGAGTCTCGCAGAGGGAACTGTTGTAAGTCTTGTATTCTGAAAGTCTCTGTATAAAGTACAAATAATTCTACTTTATATACTGTTCTTAATTATAAGTATCATGAGATATTTCATAGCCCCTGAGACTATAATACATGCATATACTTGGAATGTATCAGATGATACTATGATGGAGGCAATGATGAGATTATTGCTGAGTTTCTGCTACACAGTGCATGAAGTGGAGCTATAGTATGATTGTGACTCTGGCCAGGACTCTTGATGACTCCATATGACAAGCCTGACATTGGATAAATTGATGGATGCATGCCTTCCAGCTGCTACAAAATGTCCACTGTTGGCACCAGAGCAACAGACTATTCACTCACTTGATGTGGCCTGTACAGACAATTTCCCACTCATGGACTACATCAATTCTCATCAGGTATTGATGTGTTCATCTACCTACCTGTCTTGCTAACCACCCCCCCTATAGAGACCATGTCTTCATTGACTAGCCCCTCCTCTGCCTTTGGCCAAACTCTCCAGTTCATCACTACCATCAAGCTCCAGGAACTTGAGAAACAGCGCTTGAGCTACCAGGAGCATGCAAAAGTCCTCCAGGATGCCTGTGGCAACAACCTTGTACAAAAATTTGAGCTCCTGCTTGATGCCGTACAATTGTGGCCAGGCTCAGGCTTGGTCTATTCTGACAGCAACCTTAGCAGCAAGCTCAATCTTGTGAACCTCAACTTGTGAATGAAGCAGGCAAAGATAGATCCAAACTTTAGTGAGGAGACCCTGAACAGCTAGATTGATACCCTCAAGACTCATATCTGTCACTCTATAATGCACTTTGACTGTGCTAAGCTGTTTAGGAATCTCTTCAATGAGTGGATTGGGAGCAGCAACTCATTGATGGCACTGAGGGTTGATGCTGGTGCAGAGGCCAGTGCAGACTTTGAAAAACTTGGCAGGCAGGAGATGTACGACCAGCTTAATTAGTTGATGTCAATTATATTTGATAATGCAGACATTGACACCAATGCTCTTGAACACTACCTATCTGACCTTTTCTCTGAGGACAAAGCAGCTAAGGTGCTCAGTGCACTGCACAGTGAGCTGTTGATATTCCAAATGCATCTCAAAAGAAAGACCATCATAGAAATGACTGTCACAAACCTTGTTCATGGGCTTCTGGCTTCAAGGCTGATGGATGAGGCAAAGAGGGCAACATTGGCTGAGTTCCTTAATAGCCCCACCATTTTGGATAAGGTTGCAAGTGTCTTGAACATGTGCATGGCAGGCTTGAAGTTGTGGATATGGCCAGCAGAGGGTATGACCATTGAGATGTGTCGCTATCTTAATAGCAAGTACAAGTGTGTCTGGGGTGTGATACCCAAATTGATTGCTTACCATTATTGCAGAGCATTCACGGATATGGAGATTATTGATGCACTGCTGCTCTAGTACATCAGCATATCCTGGCAGGTGAAGCTCAAGCATGTGTTCTAGTGTCTTGGAAAGCAAGGCATGGAAGAAGACCCCATTGGAAAATAAGGCAAACTGCATTGTGAAGGAGCTCCATTAAGATGTACACAACAGGGACAGCATTGATACAAGCTGCCAGGAGATGCATGAGAGTCACTTTTTCCTCAGTCAACTATTGTCCTCCACAAGGATTCTCTCTACCTACAATGACCATCTGGATATACCCAGCCTGGAAAGCCCAGATAGCCCAGCCACAATAAAGCAGAAGCTTCCTCAGATCATGGCAATGGAGGCACAGCTCAACTCAATATTGCACACCTCCCATGCAGTGGTCTGCTCAGATTTGGAGTGGTTCAGCCTGTCACTCCCCCACCAGTCCATCCTCACTGTCCTCAAATTCTTTGGCATCTCAGAGGAGTGGACCTCATTCTTCCAGCACTTCCTTTGTGTGCTATTGCGCTTCAAGGGCAATACATTGGCTGGTGTTTGCACCTAACTACAGGACACACCCATAAGCTATGCACTGAGCATTGTCTGTAGCAAGGTCATCCTGTTTGGCATAGACTTTGCTATCAACCAAAGGGTGAATAGATTCTTCCTTTACCACATGCATGACAACTTGTGGTTGTGAGATGTGGACCCCACAAAATGCACTGTGGGATGGAGGGAGATGAATGTATATGCAGACCTTGTTGGCCTCAAGTTCAATGTGAGCAAGACAGGCTCGGTGTCCATTGGGACTGCTGTACCTGCCAGTCTCCCCACTGGCAATATCTGTTGGGGGTTCCTCCACTTCAACCAAGATAAAGCTCAGTTTGTCATTGATCAGAAGAATGTTGATCTCCATATTGTTAAGCTCTGTTGCCAGCTTGCCTCGACAAAATTGGTGTTTGGATGGGTCAATGTGTACAACAAGTATATGGCGTTCTTTTTTCACAACTTTGGTGGTCAGTCTGCACTGTGTTTTGGTGCTGTTCATGTTACAGACATTATCAATACCCTTGTGCAGATACAGGAGGAGCTGTTTCCCAATGCTCAGGGTGGTGTTGTTGCCTATCTGTGCTCAGTCACCAAGACACACTTTAACATTGTGGATTTACCCCAGGGGTACTTCTACCTTCTGATCAGCAATGATGGCCTCAAGCTTCATCACCCCATAGTGGAGATGTTTGGGGTGGAACTTGACAGGCACAATTACTTCAAGGATTTCATGGAGACCAAAAAAAAGAGGTACAAGGTGCTCAAGAAAGATTGGGATCTCCACTACAGGATCACCAAAGGCTCTTTCATGATTATGAAGTCATATACATCCTTGCAAGAGATGTGGCTGCTGTAGTAGATTACCAGCGCATGCTGACTGCCCAAAATTTGGTGAGGGTGCAGCAGATACCTCTGGTCAAGTTGTTCCTAGTGCAGGGAAACACAAAATGGCATGAGCTGGGCTGGTATGAGCAGTAAATTGTGTCCCTATATAGTAAGAAGTGGTCAAGCAGTTTGGTAGCTAAGAGGTGGTTGATGCAAGCTTGATTCTATTAAGTATGGTGCAATTGTTCAGAACATCATGGATGAAATTGTACCAATAGACAGAAATGTTGTTACAAAAATAGGACTTCCAAAACAATATCTTTTAGTGGTACATGGTGAAAATTGCAGATCATGCACAAAACAAAGCTGTCAAGAGTGGATAGTGTAGTTGAAAAAAAGGACTTGTTCATGAAATTTAGATATTGTTAGATTTGATCAGTTATTACAGAAGCAGCTGATTACTTTATTACTGTTTTGAACTTCCTCACACCATCATCATCAACTCCATAGTTGGTTTGGATAGCCAAACCAACTATAAGAAGATTAGATGGTTACCTGGGGATAGCCTGGTTAACTGGAGAGATAAAGAGAAGGGGGAGAAGTTGGTAGGGACAGCCTGGCTGACTGAAACTTCTTGTCAGTTTGGACAACTAATCTGACAGAACATGGCAGAGAGTGGAATCTATATGAAAATAGTTGACCAATCAATCCAACAAGAGAAGAATTTTCTTTGCAAGGGTGTCCAGGACTAGGTAGGGAGTAAGGTTGAAGAGGCAGGATATGACATAATATGACATAAGGCTAGGGAAACGTTCTGAGCAGCCCAAATGATAAAATGGTCCATTTTTTTAACCTTCAACTCTACTGAAGTTGTCCTTGTTTTTGAGTTTAAATTCTATACAATTCTCAGATCTTCTAAATTATTGTACCTTCCCTGCTGGCTCGCATTATTTGTTATAATTATTATTAAAATTTAATTTGTATTCACATGTCTGTGATGCTGTACTATAAGATTTGCCATACTTATTCAATGAACTTCTGCCTTTTTGCTTTCTGATTACTTTGTACTCTTGAGTTCTTGACCATGGTTTTATCTGGTTCATATTCTATATTTTCAGTTCTTCTTTGTTTTGTATATCTCTCTACACATTTTTCTGGGACATCCTTATTAGCTGAGACCCTCCCATTCATCCTTCTTTATTATCTCTCTCATTGAAGCCCACTTAGTAGAAAACTATTTGATCATTAGAGCATAAACTCACTTACTGAACTAAACAGGCTGAAATGATCATAACAACATAAAATAGGATTGGGATCTCTATTCCAGTTAGAACTCTACATATAGATGATGGTAAGGAAAAGGAGGTGTGTTTAATATCTGATCTATCAGTATGTATATGTAAGTGGTGTGCTTAAACTCTTTCCCTCTTTGAAGAAAAGTGTAGTGAAGCAGCAATTAAAAAAAGAAAAATAATATGAATGAGAAAAAAAAATTTAATGTAAGGAAGCACCTTAGAAAGATGGAACCAGCAACACACTCAGTTATGAGTGGTTGGCTCATTAAGCTTTACCCTCAATGTCTCTATATCCAACTTGACAATCTAATAAGGTCTATCAAAGCAAGGTATTAGCTTAGCTGTGCAGAACTCCCCTTTTGCTTTATATAATTGATATCTATATTCTATCAACAGGTGTACCCAATTGCTAAATTGAAAGTCAAAATTTTCATGTTTCTTGTTTGCTCTCAGCAAGTTGTTGTGGGTCTCAAGCAAGTCAAACTAGAGTGATTCTAGAGTGTTAGATGATGATGGTTCAAGTCATCTAATAGGAATGATCCTCTGAGTCATGGTTAAACTGCTTGTGCCAGTTCCCACAGTGCACTTAGATAGCAGTAGGAGACTATGATCAGCCTTGGGTATATCATTAAATATCCAATTCTAAATTGTACTTGACTATCTAGCTCAGTGGTTAGAGCACCTATCCATTGTTTTACAGGAGGTCCCAGATTTGATTCCTGATGTAGTCATATTATTATATTTTAACATAGAGTACAGCAGGTGTCATGCAAGGCAATATCATTTGACACAGCTGTTTCAGTTACCAAGGGGGTACAAGATAGGGGGAACACACTATGCAAAGGTAAAAAAGTGAGAAGCTAGTCAAATGATTGACTATATGCATTATTGCAAAATGGATAGATGGAAGTACACAGACCCAGCTGTGCTGATTACAATCCACTCAGAATCAGAGCACCTGTAAAATGGTCTTGTCACTTCTTTTGCTTGTACTATTGAGCTCATTGCACCCTCTACCTATGTCCAATGCTTGAGGTGACTCTATGGCAATGGATTTTGTTGGACCCCTTCTAGAGGATGGTTTTGACTGTATTCTGACAATAATAGATCAGCTGGGCTCAGATGTGCAGATGGTCCTATGAAGAATAGACCTCATGGCCAAACAGCTTGCAATACTTTTCTTTGATGTATGGTTCTATGAAAATAGGTTATCCTTAGAAATAATCTGTAATTTTGACTGACTGTTTGTTTCTGCCTTTTAAAAAGTACTGCATAGGTTGACTGGCATCCACACTAAGATATCTACAGCATTCTGGAAACCAATGGCTTTTGCATGGGTGCTTTCAAATACTGACAATTCCTGCATGCTAGTACAAAACCTTTCTGGAAGTCCCTATACATGTTCAGCCAGTAATATGCACTTTGTGGTGCTGTGTAGGACTTATCAGAACTAAACTGGCCCAACACATCATATGCCAAACAAAAAAGTGTTTCCCAAATGCCAGGTACATTCAGAATACATAGCCAACCTTCAGTGAACTACAATCTATCATGGCATTCCACCCTTTGCATGTCCAGAGATTACTTCTTTAGTGCTGCAATCTACAGATCTGACTCATATCTGTAACAGGTGAATTGTCTTCAACTGCAAGGAGACAGTGTTAAAACAGGCAAAGCACAGTGGTCAATGGAAGCTGAAGTCCTGAGTTAGAAACTGGTTTGATTGAAACAAGACTGTGCTACTGACCTAAAGTCCTGAGTTAGATATATATATGTGAAAGAACAATAAGAGTTGTAAGACAATAAGAACAATAAGAGAGATTGACAGATGGACAGCTGGATGACAGCTGAATGATAGATTGACAGCTGGGTGACAGATAGAAATTGTCAGATAGTTAGGACTTGTGTGGAATGAGATAGTGATCAGAATAGTGTCTTTGGGTGCTTTTTTAACATCTTCCATGTCTCAAATCCATGCTTGTTCATCATGTTACTCTAGTGGATGAGTTGTATGCTCACAACCCATGGCAACAGAATCATCTTATTGTTGAGGTGTGTTGAGCTTTTAAATGAATAGAACTTGTAATGACTTTTCCACATTTATCACCGCAGACATGATTCAATCCCTACTACCTGAATGTTTGGCAGTTCAACCAATAACCACAATATTGGCAACAACTTCTCTGGCTGAATGTCAAAATGACGGTGTCAAATTTGGGCTGACTCCAACTGCGGTATGACTACCTGTTATATGACTGTCAATTGTTTTATTTATATTTACAGCAAAAGCACTGCATGTTTCCAACATCCACTGAAGCTAAACAGAATTACCATCTGTGTATGTCCTGCTTTTGAATGATTCTTTTAGTACACTTCAGCTAACTTGTCCTCCAGATTGATATTACTTGACTCTCAATAATGCTCTGGCCAATCAAGACTCTGCTTCCCATGAGCTAGCCATTGCAATGAAAACCTCTCCAACACAAAAGTCACTTTGCATAATGCAATGGCACATCACATATTGCACATGTGCTGTTTTATCCCCACAAGTAAACCACTGACCATCCCTGCATGAGCCTTGGACTTGGCAAGACGTATCTTGGAGGCAAGGAATAAGTTCTGCCCCGTCTCCATGTATGTACATTAAAGCACTACTAGGAATACATCTGTTAGGCCATAGGGTTTGAGGCAGGCCTTTAAGGCCCAGAACTATTTTCCAATTAATAGGCTAGATACCAGTTGCAGTGTTTATAGTCAACATTCTTCCAATACAAGCAACAAGTCCCCTCCACATCTATCACAGCCTTTAACAGAAGATCAAACATGCCAAGGAAGTTGTGAATACACTGCAAGGCCTGTTGTCTGTAGTACCACTACCAGCAGGATCTCTCCACTTCCATAGTAGCTTGCAGCTTTGAAAGCATGCCCAACCACTCCACATTGTCTACAAACAATGGATACAACTCTTCTGTTACTTACATCTTCTGTGATATTCTGTGCAGGAGAAATAAAAACCTCCTACAGGTTGGCCAGAGGCACATGCTTTGAGCTGTTCCACTTGTTCAAAGCAGGGTTACTTTGTAACTTGATTATTGTTGCTCAGGCTACTATTTAGAATACATAAGCAGAGACCAGCAAGATACAGCAGGCACCAACATTGATATACTTCCTATCAAGAAGTCCACTATTGTGATGTAACACACCTGGATTTCTGACCTATAGCTCAGTTTCTATTTCAAACTTAGTGAGATATGACTGCCCCCATGGCCCGCCAATGAACACTTACACCTCACTGGGCATGTCAAAGGAGTAAGATTGTGTTAGAAAAGCGTCCAAAGACACTGTTCTGATCACTATCTTATTCCACACAAGTCCTAACTCCATCTGACAGTTCCCATCTGTCATCCAGCTATCATCCAGCTGACCATCTGTCAAACTCTCTTATTGTTCTTGTTGTATTGATACACATCTGACAGTTCTTATTGTTCTTATTATCTTACAACTCTTATTGTTCTTTCACATATATATAGTGTAGCTAGTTCTTCCTGAAGTCCCCAGTTTCTAACTCAGGACTTCAGGTCAGTAGCACAATCTTATTTCAATCAAACTAGTTTTTAACTCAGAACTTCAGCTTTAGGTGTCTTCCATTGACTACTGTGCTTTGCCTGTTTTAACAGATTGTTGAGCAGGACTGGGTAGGTATAGAGGCAGGTTTTATTAGACAGCTCCCTGCTTTTCTGAATTATTGTGAAAAGATATACCTGGTTTCACAGCTCTCTCTATTGGTCTGAGAAAATTTGTATATTTGCCTAATTGATAGTTATTAATAGTTTTTACAATCTTTACCCCAAATGTCCTCAGTGCACTCCATGGGAGCCAGGAACCTTGCCCTATTGCCTGTTTATCCTCATTTGTAAAAGAGTGTGTTAATCTGGACTGTGTTCTATACAAGGTAGTTGATGATGGAGAAAAGATTTTCTGAATTTGGAGTCTGGTGGGCAGGGTGGTGAAAGATGGTGTCGCAGTGGGTTTGCACTCACACTGTTGAAGTTGATTGTGTGTCTCCACTATCAATGGAAAACAATGAGCTGAACCAAAGTTTTGAAATACTCTGTTACTGCTGCTGAGAAAAACACATGATGTTGATAGCTAATTAAGATGTGGTTGTAAGTGCTTAACCCGAGAAAAATTGGTTGAACATCCTTGCTGATGCATATCACCCTTGTGCATGAGAAACATCTGACTCTTTCACCTTGAGTGTCCTTAGTAATGCCAATTTGCACATGTTTAAGGATGGGAGAGGGGCACATGAGTAATGCAACTCCAGGTCACTACCTGTGACATTGCACTCATTATTACCATGGACAGCACAGATACTATCACTGCCAGCCTCACATTAGGCAGCACTGCTCTGTTCACCCTTGCCAAAAACATGGCCTGACCTATAGAAGCAGCATGCTTCAGAGTTGGATTTCACTAGCAGCTATATTGAGATTAGCATCATGCTCCCTGGCCCAAGTGCAGAGGCAAAAGGTTATGTGAGTTTTTCCTCTTCAATGTGTCATATATTGTTATGATTTTCCTCATCTCCTCCTCATTACCTTCAACCAGGGTTGGTACTTTACCTTCTCTGCAATCTCATCTCAAGTCACATCAACAACCACACATAGCTAGCACTTGCTGTTGTGTGATTTCCTTTTCCATTCCCTTTCCTCAAAACCAAATGCTGACACACTCCAACAGTGGCCAGGTGTATGGACAATGGAAAACCTTGCCTGATCAGGGTATGCAGCAATGATAGATGGAAGGTGGCCTTTCATGTGAGCATTTGTCATTGGTCTCCAACCTTTGCTCTTGCAGGATATGAGGACAAATGACTACAAAAACACTGCACCAAACCTGGAGACCTATACTTATCAAACAGATTGGCTGAATCCCAAGGTGATATTCAAATGTACACTCAAGGTCAAGTTTACAAGCAAACTCACATGCTACTCCCAGAGCATGCCAGTAGTATTAATATGATGCTCAGCATGGCTGACTTCTGCTTGGAGCCACCTTACTTCTTGTTAAAATCCAATAATATGACCATACCAGGAATTGAACCTGGGACCTCCTACAAACATGGACAGGTGCTCTAACTATTCCTATTAGATGACTTGACCCATCATCATCTAACACTTCTATCAAGTATAAGACTACCAATATGACCTTAGTTTAAAATCCCCAGGATTGTTGCTTTCCTCTCTGATGACACATGACTTTGTGGGCTAGATTGGAAGTTGGTAGAACAAAATGCCCAGAATAAATACCCGGAGGTAGAAGATCTAGTTATTTGTACTACCCTATAGTACAGATTATGAATGCTAATGATATGTAGACAAGACAGGCAAGAATGCCATGCTGAGGGAGGGCAACATGAGATGGAACAGGTAGAAGTATGATACATGTTATGCAAAGTCAATAATAATGCCACAATGTGATAATAAAAGCGAGACCTAAAGCTGAAGTCCTGAGTTAGAAACTGGTTTGATTGAAATAAGACTGTGCTACTGACCTGAAGTCCTGAGTTAGAAACTGGGGACTTCAGGA